CTGCTGCTGCTGCTGCTGCTGCTGCTGCTGCTGCTGCTGCTGCTGCTGCTGCTGCTGCTGCTGCAGCTGGAGCGGCGGCTGAACGTGCTGATGCAGGGGGTGTGCAGCGAGAGGTCTTTTGGCTGCTTCTGCTGCAGCAGCTGCAGCAGCAAATGGCGCAGCGGCTTTTCTTACCCCGAAGTGCAGCAGGAGTGTCTTAGCTGCGGCAAGATGGTGAAGCCTTTTTCCCTGAGGCCCCTCCTCAAAGTCCCGCCAAACCAGCAGCAGCAGCAGCAGCAGCAGCAGCAGCAGCAGCAGCAGCGGGCGCCGCTGCAGCAGCAGCAGGGAGGTGCTCCGGCGGGGAGAGAGAAGGCCGAAACCCAACCGCAGCAGCAGCAGCAGCAGCAGCAGCAGCAGAGATTCGTCAGAGATAGCACGCGCCAACAGCAGCGCCAGCAGCAGCGGCAGCAACAGCTGCAGCAGCTGCAGCAGCTGCAGCAGCTGCAGCAGCAGCAGCAGCAGCAGCAGCAGCACAAGCGTCGTGAGGGAACTCAGGGGCGCTTGCCGGTAGGCTCAAGAGGCGAAAGAAACCCATACCGCCACAGCTACGAACAAACCCAGCAGCAGCAGCAGCAGCAGCAGCAGCGGCAGCAGCAGCAGCGGCAGCAGCAGCGGCAGCAGCAGCAGCAGCAGCAGCAAGACTGGCCTCCAGTTTCCTTGGGCCTCTCTGTGGGCCCTCCCCCCGGCTTCGAAGATGTTGTTCCTTCGCCGCAGCATTCCGCGGGGGACTCAGCTAGCCAGCTAGCTAGCCAGCTAGCTAGCCAGCTAGCCAGTCAAGCAGCTAGCCAGCTAGCCAGTCAAGCAGCTAGCCAGCTAGCCAGTCAAGCAGCTAGCCAGCTAGCCAGCCAAAGGGCTAGCCAACTGGCAAGCCAAACAGTCAATCCAACAGCTAGCCAGCTAGCTAGCCAGGCAGCTAGCCAGCTAGCTAGTCAGGCAGCTAGCCAGCTGGCCAGCCAGGCAGGCGGCCAGCCAGCTAGCCAACACTGCAGCCAAGCAGCTAGCCAAGCAGCTAGCCAAGCAGCTAGCCAAGCAGCTAGTCAGCTAGCTAGCCAGCTAGCGAACCAGCTAGCCAGACAGCTAGCTAGCCAGACAGCTGGCCAGCTAGCTAGCCAGGCAGCAGCCACAGGACGGCAGTCTGGAGAGCTTCGAATTGAAGGTAAAGACAGAACCCCACAGACAAACAGACGAGCAGCAGCAGCAGCAACAGCAGCAGCAGCAGCAGCAACAGCAGCAGCAGCAGAGGCGACTCGGGGCGCCCAGGGCGCGAGCAGCAACCGCAGACGCTGCAGCAACCGCGCCCAGCCGAGCCGCAGCAGCAAGAGCAGCAGCAGCAGCAAGAACAGCAGCAGCAGCAGCAGCAGCAGCAGCAGCAGCAGCAGGACTTGGGGGGGAAAGGCGGAAGGCGAAGAGAACTCGAGGGCGAAGAGCTGTCCATACACCCCACGCCCCACAGTCTCGCTGCAGGCCCGCAGACAGCTGGTGGCTGCCCTAATAGAAACTCAAAAAAGCGGAAAGTTGAAAAACAATTAATTAAAAAGATTTGAGAAATAAATTATTTTAAAAAATAAATTATTTTAAAAAAGAAATTATTTTAGAAAAGAAATTATTTCAGAAAAAAAATTACTTGCAGCGCTTTTCAGTTGTACAGACACCGCCACCCCCTCAGCTGTACGTACACCTCAACGCCGCCGCACTGCACCGCAAATGCTGCGCCCCACAAGCCCTTTTCTGAGGTGTACGTACACCGCAGATGCTGCACCCCACAAGCTCTTTTCTGAGGTGTACGTACACCGCAGATGCTGCAGCCGACGAGCCCTTTTCTGAGGTGTACGTACACCTCATAAACTCCCAGGGGACCCGCGCCGCGGCACTCGGTGTACGTACACCCCACTGTCTCCAGGTGTACATACACCTCAGTTCCTCGAGGTGTACGTACACCCCACCCCACTGTCTCCAGGTGTACATACACCCCAGTGTCTCCAGGTGTACGTACACCCCAGTGTCTCGAGGTGTACGTACACCCCAGTGTCTCGAGGTGTACGTACACCTCACAAACTCCAGGTGTATGTACACCCCAGTGTGTCCAGGTGTACATACACCCCAGTGTCTTCGGGTGTACGTACACCCCAGTGTGTCCAGGTGTACGTACACCCCAGGTTCTGCGGTGTACGTACACCTCAACTTCTCAGCAGCTTTCTTTAAGTGCCCTTTCCGCCTGCTGCTGCGTGTCCAGGTGTACGTACACCCCAGCAGCAGGGCCCGCTGCATGCGCTGTGGCTGGCTGCGAGGGTTTAGGGTTTAGGGTTTAGGGTTTGGGAGTCAGTCGGGGCTCTTTAAATGGACTTCTTTAAAATGGTTCTAAAGTTCAAAACCCCAAGAAATAAAAGGGACAGAAAGTACTGCATGCAGCCCCACAGGCAAATACAAAGAGGGGAGTGCGGGCGAAGGACACAAACCCTAACAAAGCGCTAAACCCTAAACCCTAAACCCTAAACCCTCAAGAGAAAAGCTACGTACGGGGCCCCTCTCCCACAGGCCAGCGCAGGGGGGCCTCCACTTCATGGCGGCGAGCTGAAGGAATCGCTGGCTAGCTAGCTAGCCAGCTAGCTAGCTAGCTAGCCGGCCAGCTAGCTAGCTAGCTAGCAAACTAGCTAGCCAGCTAGCTATCCATCTAGCTCGCCATCCAGACCACTAGCCAGCTAGCCAGCCGGCTAGCCGAGCAGTTAATTAGCTAGCTAATCAGCCAGCCAGCCAGCTAGCTATGCAGCTAGCCACGCAGCTAGCTAGGCAGATAGCTAGGCAGCTAGCCGGGCAGCTAGCTGGGGAGCTAGCTGGCTAGCTTGGGAGCTAGCCACGCAGCTAGCTATGCAGCTAGCTGAGGAGCTGGCTAAACGCAGCCAGGTAGCTAGCTAGCTAGGTTGGCTGCTAGCTAGCTAGCTAGCTAGCTAGCTAGCTAGCAGCTAACCAGCGAGGCAGCTAGCTAGGCAGCTAGCTGACAGCTAGCTGGCAGCTAGCTAGGCAGCTAGCTGGCAGCTAGCCGCCGCAGCAGCAGCAGCAGCATGAGCAGCTAGCTGGCAGCTAGCCGCCGCAGCCGCAGCAGCATGAGCAGCTAGCTGGCAGCTAGCCGCCGCAGCAGCCGCAGCAGCAGCAGCAGGAGCAGCTAGCTGGCAGCTAGCCGCAGCAGGAGCAGCTAGCTGGCTAGCTGTCGTCGAGGACGAAGTAGTTGCCCGCGAGTTTTTGTTCCTTGTCTTTGCAAGAGTCGAGTTTGTTAATTCGAGGTCTGAAGTTCGAAGGGTCTCTTCGAAAAGTAATTTGCAAAACCCTCAAAAAGCGGTTCATGCCGCTCACGAGGCTGTCCGGCGAGCTCGCCGCGCAGCAAACCCTGAAAAACCCCAAACCCTAAACCCTAAACCCTAAACCCTAAACCCTAAACCCTAGAGCCTACAGCCTAGTCCTCGGCGCTGGCCTCGGCTAGGCCGCCGCGCCCGGCGAGCGACTAAGGCTGCAGAAGGGACAGGCAGGGAGAAGCACGGCTGCGCTACTAGGGTTTAGGGTTTAGGGTTTGGGGTTTAGGGTTTGGGGTTTAGGGTTTGGGACTTGCCCTGGCTCGCCCTCAAAGACTATGACTCGGTCTGCAAGATAAGTCGCCATTATGAAGTCGTGTTCAACCACAAACGCCGTCTTCTTTGCATGCAAAATGAACCTGAAAACCACAAACCCTAAACCCTAAACCCTAAACCCTAAACCCTAAACCCTCAAACCTGGAGCGCCGCGAGCCTGTCCGCGCTCTCTTGATAACCCCCCGCCCCTGCGCGCGCCTCCTCCCCCTAAACCCCAACCCCAAACCCTAAACCCTAAACCCTAAACCCTAAACCCTAAACCCCAACCCCAAACCCTAAACCCTAAACCCTAAACCCTAAACCCTGACCGTTTGATGACTTTGCTGGCTGCAATTCTCTGTTCAGAGTCCAAGTAAGCTGAGGGTTCATCAATTAAATAAATGTCTGCGGGTTTTCCCAAAGCCACAATAAGAGCCACTCTTTGAAGTTCTCCCCCGGAGAGAAGCTGCACGGGCTGGTCCATGACCTGCGAGGGTTTGCAAACGCTCTTTTAGGGTTTAGGGTTTAGGGTTTGGGGTTTGCGACCGCAGCCACCGGCTGCGCCGGCACAGTCCGTGCGCAGTCGCGAACAAAATCCACAAAAAACCACAAATTAGGGTTTAGACCTGCGAGGGTTTGCAAACGCTCTTTTAGGGTTTAGGGTTTGGGGCTTGCGGCCGCAGCCACCGGCGGCGCCGGCACAAGTCCGTGCGCAGTCGCGAACAAAATCCACGAAAAACCACAAATTAGGGTTTAGGGTTTAGGGTTTAGGGTTTACTTGTTCCAGGTCGAGAGGCCGCACGACGTCGGTCTGGAACTGAGGGTGATTAAACGCGTCGCGAATCTTTGCGTAAAACAACTCCCTGAAAGAAACCCTAAACCCTAAACCCTAAACCCTAAACCCTAAACCCTAAACCCTGGACCCAGTGCGCAACAGCAGCAGTTATTGCCCAAAGCATCCGCACAGCACCCCCGCAGCCGTGCGCTCCCGCCGCCAAACCCTAAACCCTAAACCCTAAACCCTAAACCCTAAACCCTAAACCCTAAACCCTAATGCGCACTTGACAGTGCCCTGGAACTTGGCAGTGACAATTTGGGGTTTGTAAGAAACTGCAAAACTCGGCAGCGCCTCCGAGTTGTCTGGCGACAGCAAGCCAGCGAGCATTCTGCAACACAAACCCTAAACCCTAAACCCTAAACCCTAAACCCTAAACCCTAAACCCTCGTCGGTGACCCTGATCCCTTTACGTCGGCTGCAAACCCTCGCTCGCCGCCCCGGCCGCCCCCACCCGCAACCCAAACCCCAAACCCTAAACCCCAAACCCTAAACCCTAAACCCTAAACCCTAAACCCTAAACCCTAAACCCTACCTGATGAAGGTTGACTTGCCAGTGCCGTTCTGGCCCAGCATAACCACTATTTCAGAGTCTGAAAAACTCCCTTTTTCAACACTGAGTTTGAAATTCCCGAGGGTTTTCGTCAACGCGGGGTATTCGTAGAAGTGCAGCCGCTGCACCCAAACCCTAAACCCTAAACCCTAAACCCTAAACCCTAAGCCCGTCGCCCAAAGCCCGCGAAACCCGACCCCAGCCCCTGCAGTCACCCCATAAACCCCAACCCCCAAACCCTAAACCCCAAACCCTAAACCCCAAACCCTAAACCCCAAACCCCAAACCCTAAACCCCAAACCCTAAACCCCAACCCCCAAACCCACCCCAACCCCC